CAGTTAGTGTAACGGCTATGTTGCTGGACTCCCACGTAGTCGACTGCAATTCAAGTCCCGGACCCGATGGCTTAAATTTATGCCGGGTGCATGTACATGCATGCCCAAGAGCCCGAGAGGAGAATGGAGAAGGGATTGTGGCGTGGCCATCCCCTTTGGGGGGTGATTTCTCGCTTTTCTGTCTCTTTGTCTTTCTGGCGAGCACACGCACCTTATAGCAAGAAAACTTCTCCAAAAAAAGAAAACGAAAATCTCCTTTCAAAAAAGTCCACACAGGTCTGGAGGTTTTTTTCAGATGAGTGTTAGCAAACATAATAGAGTATATACAAGCTGTTTCAAAGAATAGAGGAAGAGGGAAAGCTACCCTATTTATTTGAAGAACCCTTGATACAGAAATTTAATATGGACTATATAAGAAAAAAATGTAAGGCAGTCTTTAAGTATATAAATGCAAAGATCCTGAATAAGATGTTAGTAAGCAGAGATCGGCAGGTAGCAAGCTGGACTCCCACATGGTCGACCACAATTTGAGTCCCAGACCTGGCAGCTTGTTTTCTCACTTTCCTTCTCCCTCTCTCTCATCAAATTAAAAACTAACAATAATAATAATAAATTAGTTCATTTTTAAAAAAGAAGATGTTGGTGATCAAATACCTAAAAGCAAGGACATCATGTTTGTAGAATAGCCATCAAAGTAATATAGGATGGGGCCACAAGCAGGCATGTGGTTGAGGGTAAAATATAAAACAAGGCTGATCAGGAGTTGCAAACTGCTGCAGCTTGCTTATTGGTACATGGAAGTTTATTTTGAACTATTTTGTCTGCTTGTATGTATGTCAATTTTTTCATAATTAAAAGTTTTTTGTTTTCAGGTTTTAAATGCTTTATGGCCAGTAATCAGAGTTTGTCTGAGGAATGTCTCAGAAGGATTTCTTTGTGAAACACTGTAGGGTTTGCTATGTAAACGGCCTCTGCTTGCCTTCTTGCAAGAACATACATTTCTTGGGACTAGCAGATGGCGTAATGGCTATGCCGCTGGACTCCCATGTAGTCGACCGTGGCTCGAGTTCCGGACCCAGTGGCTTAAAATCACTCTGAATGTTTGTGTGGCCAGGATCCCAAGAGGAGAGGAGAGAAGAGATTGTGGCGTGGCCATCCCCCCTGGGGGGTGATTTCTTGCTTTCTATCTCTCTGTCTCTCTGGTGAGCTCAAGCACTCTATAGCAAAAACAAACAATCAAACAAAAAACCTCTCAATAAAAAAGGATATACATTAAATTTTATATTCCCTCCCCCTTTTTTTTTTGAGAGGTTTTTGCTACAGGGTGCGTACACTCACCAGAAAGACAGAGAGAGACAGAGAGCAAGAAATCACCCCCCAGGGGGGATGGCCATGCCACAATCCCTTCTCCTCCATTCTCCTCTCAGGATCTTGGACACGCACACACACGTGCCTGGCGTGAGTTTAAGCCACCTCAGAAACTAAGCCAGTGGTGTGGAACGATAGTCCCAGCAGCTTGAGGAGGCTGAAGCAGGAGGATCAATACATGGTGAGACCTTATCTTAAAAAACAAACAAACAAAAACTTCTAGATTAACTTGGGGTGATGTAACATCTTTATAATATTGAGACTTTCCAAGTATGGATGCTCAAATATAGTAGATCTTTCCATTATCAAAGGCTTTCTGTGTGTATACTTCTCTTTAGCTTAAAATGGCTTGTTTTGTTTTTTTTTTTTTTTTGGAGGGGGGAGATTTTCACCACAGACAGACAGAGAGAGACATAGAGACAGAAAGCGAGAGGGGGGATGGCCACGCCGCAATCCCTTCTCCATTCTCCTCTCGGGATCTTGGGCATGCATGCAGACGTGCCTGGCGTGAGTTTTAAGCCACCGGGTCTGGGACACAAACCGCGGTCGACTATGTGGGAGTCCAGCAACATAGCCATTATGCTAACTGCTGGTTCCCATGTTTTCATTTTATTTAAGGTAAAGTATTCTCTGGGCTTTCAAGCCCCTTTATCGTGCTTATTTGTGCCTTTCCCCTGCCCATTTAGGAAAGGCACAAACCCAGACCCACCCTGACCTGGCTACTGAACTTGAGCTGTGAAATATTGCTTTTGCACAGCACACATACACAATGCGTGGTTTTCATTTTTTGCTTTATAAAATATAATATTTTTTATTTTGTTTTTTTCTTCTTTCCTCTTCTCTAATTTTTTCCTTTTTCCTTTAACTTCATTCCTTGGCTGCTCAGCCTCTACACACCAATTGTTGACAGGTCAAAGTAAACAGTATCTAAATATCTGAATATGATTAGGGTCAGAATATTCCTCAAGGGACCAGCAGTTAGCATAACGGCTATGTCGCTGGACTCCCATGTAGTCAACCGTGGTTCACGTCCCGGACCCGACGGCTTAAACTCACGCCGGGCACGTGTGCGTGCGTGCCCAAGATCCTGAGAGGAGAATGGAGGAGAAGGGACTGCGGCGTGACCATCCCCCTGGCGGGTGATTTCTCACTTTCTATCTCTCTGTCTCTCTGTATGGCGAGCGCACATGCTCTATAGCAAAAACCTCTCCAAAAAAAAGAGAATATTCCTCAATTCCCACTGAATCTGACTCACAAAGAGTGAAAAACGGAACAAGAGAGACATTGCAGATCACCTCCGGCTGCACACCTCTGAACGCTCAGATTGTACTTAAAGATTTAGGAAGAAATGCACAGTCCATCAGATGACTAGACATCAGCTCAGGGTCATGAGAAGCATGAGAAAGCAAGAAAATACCTCTCCTCTAAGGGAAAAGAATAACTCTTCATCTTCAGACAGTACAATGGAACTCATGGAAATGTCAGATAGAGAATTTAGAATATTCATAGTGACAAAGCTAACAGAGATGGAAGAGAGGAGAGACAATGAACTGCAGAAGAGGCAGGAGGAAAGAACTGACAAGTTGCAGGAGGTGAAGAAGTCCTTGCAAGATCTGAAAGAGGAAATACACCATAAAAAATAATCAGAACTGTTAGAAACTATGAAGGCTATAATACAAGAAATTAAAACCTGGATCATACAGAAAATTTAATCTCAGATGTAGAAGACAGAATCACTGGCCTAGAAAAATCCACCATGAAGACTGAGAAAATCGCCCCCCAAAATGAGAATAATAGAAATACTAGATACCATCAAATGTCCAAACATCCAGATAATTGGTATCCCAGAAGGTGAAGAGACTCATAAGGGCATTGATAATCTCTTCCATAAAATCCTGCAAGAAAACTTTCCAAACCTAGAGAGGCATTCAAAGATCCAGACCTAAGAAATGCAAAGGACCCCAATAGAATCCATCTAAGAAGATCTTCTCCAAGACACATTATAGCCAGATTGACCAAAACCATAGACAAAGACAAGATACTAAGATTGGTGAGAGAGAAACAGCAAGTTACCTACAAAGATATCCCATCAGGCTAACAGCAGACCTCTCATTGGAAACAATGAGAGCAAGGAAAGAATGGAAAAATATATTCAAAGTGTTAAGGCAAAAGCAATTGCAACCAAGAATACTGTACCCAGCAAGATTATCCTTCATATGGGAAGAAA